TTTGTATCACAGCAGTGTTTTATAGCTATTTGGGGGCTCTCTGTCCCCCTGCAAGGCCAAGATTAGTGCCTGGCATGTAGTAGATAGATACTTCACAAATACTTATAAGAATGAATGAATGAATGAAGAGCATCAGAAAATGTAACAAATTAATAATGAGAAATATCAAAGAAATATGCCAAATTTAGAAACCACCTAGAAAGTTTTTCATGCACACTCTACTTTGCAACTTTCACAATAATGATACTGCTTCACAAGAAACAATTCACCAAAGACAAAAATCCAATTAAATTATAGAACATTCTAGTTATAGTCCTATTCTCATTACATTTCAAAACTTCAACACCATTAAAAGTAATTTCCAGATACTAACGGTGCATCCTCAGAAGTTTTTTTCTCACATTAAAAAAAAAAAGAATTCAGAGAAGTACATTTACAAATGTAACATTCAAAATTTTTGGCATGGGTTACAGCATTATGGCATATGTTCTATTTGTAATTCCCAATCTTGTAGTATATGGTTAAATGTAATTTTAACTAATTTTTTTTAGTTCCCCAATTATAGTAAACATTTCTTCATTCAAATGTAAAGGTTGGCAATTTTAAATTCCTCATATGGAAATCATTTACAATTTGCCTCTGTAAAGCTTTAAAAATTACCTTACCAAGAAAGTAGATACTGAAGGTATTGGGCTGGTTGGGACACAGAGTGTGGAGGGTACTAGACCTCAGAAACCACTACCTCATGCCAAGGTTCTAAAATGAGCTTACTCAGCCCCAGAAAGAAAATTTCATTTAAAATATTTAGCCATGAAGTACTACTTGATAACCATTATTCTGGGTATATCTTCTATAAAAATTATACCACCACTCCCATCAAACTTTTTGTTTTGTTTTAACTGTAGGTGAACAATAAGGCCTTTTCCTGAATAAATAGCCTGGGGTGGGGGAGGATTTAAATACCAACCACAGAATTTAGAGATTTAAAATATAACCCAATTAATAAAGTCCTCTAAGCATTCTTAAAACCATTTCTTTCAGTGCATTTGGGAACTAGGAATCATCCTAGAAATTAAAAAAAAAAAAAAAAGCATTTACAATCTGACCTTTTAAAAATAATCTAATTAGCAATATTCTCTGGATAATTTATTTTTGAAGAAAAAATAGCTTCAAAAGTGCTATAACGCTCCTTAACTACTCATATTTCTTGCCAATCTCAGCAACACATTCTTCAAAGTAAGAAAAAGAACAATGTAAGTATTTCAAAAATGATAAAATAATGTTAACTATCATTATGTTCCTCTCTAAGTGGATTAAAGTTCTTAAAAGTAAATAGCTTCAAGAAGATGAAAATGGGAACACAGAATTCTTTCTTTAGGGATCAGAATATCAATCTATTTCTATATAAACAGTGCTTTTGGCTCTGGTAGGATAATGAGGTCATTCAGATGGGAGGAAAAGATGAAGGGAATTATAAACTTCTTTATTTAAGTAAAATCCAAATTTCTCTAATTTAGGCAATGGGAGAATCACAATTTGGAAGGGATAACAGGGATTTCTTGGCCTGTCTCTGGCTTCTAGGATTCACCTTTAGGCTTTCTCAATAATTACTGTCACCATTGTGCTGCTTTAATCATTTGATATTCAGGATCAACCACGAACACCTGTCCATCTTTTCCCTTTATACTACCAAGTATTAAGAGCATTGCCAAGAAAAGATTCCAGTGTTTCAAAAGACTTTATACTAATGCTAGAAGAATGCAGAAGAGGAAGCAACTAGATTGCAAGTCTAAGATACAGAATTACAGAATTTGGTTTGCCCTCTGGAGCTTTTAAGCCTTATTCTATTTGCTCAACAGTCCACTATCTGGTTGCCACCTCAGCAGGGTGCATCAAGGACCCACACTTTTTGCAGTAAAGACTACACTGTACAAGAAATGGATTTGTATAGTGCCATACAATATCACTGATGATAACACTAGAGAGACTGCTGGAGTCTCTAACATCTTCTGAAAGTCAGTTCTATAAGTCTCAGAACTCTACCATAATTAAGAAAGTCCCGTAAGTCTTAACAGTTGAAACTCATGTGTGATTTGATGGTAAACAAGAATGTCTATCACTTTGTTTATTTTTAGAAACATACAAGCTTAGAAATTTGAATCATTTACATAAATACACAGCCATAATCTTCAATTCAGATAAAAAAAAAGAAAATTATTTTTGCTAAAAATAGAGTTCAAGTATACGGCAAGCATTATTGGTAAATATGGGTTTGTAGAAGTAAATTTTGGGGGTAAATTCAATTTTACCCACTAAGCATTGGTTCAGTTTTTAAAACTTTCAAAAGTGTAACCTATACTTGACTTCTTTGGGGATTCTTATGGCTGCTAATCCCTCCCTCTTTTTTTCCTCCTTTGACCTTCATTTCAGAAATGAAGGTCATTTCAAATTCTTCAGGGAAGAATTTCATTCTTCCCTCTGCAAGAATTCCCTTTTTTACTTCTGACTCTCTGCTGATCCCTTTAAACACTGGCATTTCTTGGGGCTCAATCCCAAACCCTCATATTACTACATTCTCTCCTTAAAGTAATGACATTTACCATCTTGTTTTAGCTATAGGTATCATTATATGCTTGATTTTATGCATTATATAATGATGATGTAATAATGTATATTTTTAGTCCAGACTTCACTTGAGCTTCCAATCTATGTCTCCAATTTACAGCTAATCTCCATGGCTTAGAAGGGATGTGACAGAATCCCTTAAATGATCCAATTAAATTCATTTCATTATCTCCAAACCCTCTCCTCCTCATAGAGTCCTCTATCCTAGTTAGTAGGACCACTATTGTTCTACCCACTCAAGCAATCCAGAGTTTCCCCCATCCCTACATATCCCTCTCACACTACATTGTCAGTTTCCAGATACCCTAAATATCTTGTACCCAACCCATTCTTTCTAACTCCAGTGTATATGTCCTGTCTTTGTTTTTGACTATCATTTGTAAAAGAATTGTACTAGAAGCTCTGCCTCCATTCAAAACACATTACCACTGAAGAAATAGTTTCATAGTGCAAACTGGATGTCATTTCCATGCTCAGAATCTTTCTGTGAATATCTATGTTATAATTAGGATGAAGCAAGGTCTTTTTTAAAATTTCATTAATTATTATTATTAATTATTATTAATTTTTTTTATTTTTTAGTTTTCGGTGGACAGAACATCTTTGTTTGTATGTGATGCTGAGGATCGAACCTGGGCCACACGCATGCCAGGAGATCTCGCTACTGCTTGAGCCACATCCCCAGCCCGCAAGGTCTTTTTTTTAACATGGAATACAAAGATCACCATATTCTGACTCCTGGTTACATTTTCTTTTTTTTTTTTTTTTTTAAAGAGAGAGTGAGAGAGAGAGGGGGACAGAGAGAGAGAATTTTAACATTTATTTTATTTTTTCTTAGTTCTTGGCGGACATAACATCTTTGTTGGTATGTGGTGCTGCTGAGGATCGAACCCGGGCCGCACGCATGCTAGGCGAGCGCGCTACCGCTTGAGCCACATCCCCAGCCCCTCCTGGTTACATTTTCTAATTTTCTACTATTTTCCTGCCTCAGTCCTTCTATCATACATGCTATTTATTCATATTTACTTGGCATTTAGGGAGCATGCTATGCTGTTTCATACTTTTCAGCCAAATTCACACTGTTTTCTCTGGGTTATTATTCTTTGCCCTTAACTACTTACCTTACCCTTTTCTTTACATAACAAACACACCTCCTATTCATCCTTTGAGAGTCCACTTAAGTATCCTTCCATGAAGCTTTCTCTAACCATCCTAGGCAGAATCGTTCACTTCTCTAAATTGAATTTACCTTTGAAACACTTAGCATATTCTAAGGCAATTATTTGTTTACAATTCTGTCTTTATTCAATTCAGCTGATTGATGGATGGGATGGTGTCTTGCATATTATCTCTGTATTCCCTCTGCTCAGCACCAACCAGTAGGGAGTATTTAGTAAACATATACTACTGGCTGGTTTTCTCAATGAATGGTCAGATAGTTCTTACCCTTGGAATGAGATGTACAGAGTGATTATTGTGTTGCTTGGAGTGCTTTACTGTTCATTTCCTGTTTGGGGCTATGTGCCTCACCTTTGACATTACCAAGATTTTGATTTCTGAATAGATTGTTACTGCATCATAAGTGGATTGTTACTGTATCATAAGTGGATTGTTACTGTAACTTTAAGGCATATTCTATTTCAACTGTGGTCAAAATGGCTGAAACATACTTTTCCATTAACAACTGTGTACCTTTGAGTAAATTAGGTTATATATGTCCCCTTAACAAGGTGTTACTTTTTCCTGATTATATGTCTCTTCAAAATTCTTTGTTGCTCTACTCTCCATTTCCAATATTTTATCTATTTCAAATCTTTTTTGGAACAGAGATTTTTAAAATACAGCACATATATACTTTGTTTAAATTGATACCAGTATTTTTTCCACATTAAAACACATGCACTTTTACTATATTTATCTTTCCATTGCTACAATTGAGTGTTTGCACTGATTTAATTGCCTCAGATTTTAGCAAAAGTATATCTGGCTTTTTTTTTTCACTTTACCTTAAGCAAATCTTTATTTATTTATTTTTGTGGCCTTGTTCATGAAAGGCAAGCACTCTACCAACTGAGCTATATCCCAAGCCCATAATTTTAAGTGAACTGCATTGTAATTGTGGCTATGAGATTTCCAGATTTCTAATCCAAGGATTGTCTTTAAACTTAATTTATCTAATTTCCTGATCTACAACCCCTCTTTTTTCCAGATCATCCTCCCATTGAGGAAGATTGAATTTTTTTTTTTAGGTAAAATTAATATCTTCTTAAGCTCCAAGCACTTATATCAAAATCAAAGCATTAAATAATCCATATGACAGTAAAAATACAATATATTTTTTAAAATTCACTTTGAAAATTATGAAATCACATTACCTGATTAGATTCTGATAATCTTAGGATGGTAGGAAGTTCATCTTTAAACTCATCTATAAGGTCCATAATTACTTTCTGGATCCCCTCCACTAAGAAAAAAAGAGGTTAGGAAAAAAGTTTTAAAACTATCCCCTAAATGATTCAAAAGAACTTGGAACACTGGGTTTACCTCCTAAGTGACTGAAAAGAAGAGAACCATAGGGGATCTTATTCTCTGTTGTTCCCACACCCATATTCCCTTTAAAACAAGATTGTGTGTACTTTTTCCAGAACAGTTCTTCAACACATGTCCACATATCCACCCAATGGGTTTGACTGGCATGAAGAGTTCTTGCTGGGGTTTCTAGTGCCTAGCAAGCTTGCAGGCCTGGGCAGGGGATAGCCTTCCACTCAGGAAAGCAGGGGAGGACAGAATCCACAGGTCCTTATTGGAATCCATTGTTACTACACAATGGGCATCTGAGAACTTGTTACAGAATCTTCTGAAGTCACCCTGGCAGTGAGAAGAGGAAGAATGTGTTTGGAGGCATGAGGGGAGGAGTGAAGGAATCAAAAAACAAACAAACAAACAAAAAAAGAAAAAACACACACTAAGAAGTTCTATAACTGAAGTTGAATTTTTTCCCAAATTCTTCAGTGATACTTCAATTAATGGATCATCTGAGAACAAAGCTCCTTTTGAAAACAGTTGGCATGAGCTTTAAGATGCCAAGTGGAAAAGAAACACAAGCACTTAATTCAGAAAAGCTTCTAGACAGATTGTTTTTCCTTCACTTAAGTGAGGACCACTAGGTCAAAGCCAAGCAAAGCTGTGGAGTCTTTGATGTCTTCTTTATAAACACGACCTTTTTTATTTTTCTTCTTCATCTTTTACTCAAGACTCTTTCACTTCCACTGATCATTATTTTCCTCTGACCAAACCTAGAAGAACTTGATATCAGGTAGATTTGATTGATCACCTATTTATATTTTAGTGCGGATGAGGTAAAAGTTGAACTAAAAACCTCATTTTAATTTGAAACTTTTATTCTTAACTGTAATTTGATCATTTTCTTCAGTAAGCATCAAGCTGTGACTCTGGAGGTCTCTTCATGGGAACTGTTTTAGAATAAAATCTTCATCAAGGGATTCTTCTAGCATGCCAGATTCCTGGCTTTCACATTGTTTCCGTCCTCAAACTGCTTGAAAACACTCCACCATACCACACTCACCTCTCCTCACCAAATAGATTTTGCTTTCCTTCATCATGACCCTACTGCTTGAGATAACTATGTCATTATTAACATTTGGAAAGTAATCCAGTGTCAGAAAGGAAATCTCAAGACAATGACGATGAACACACATACTGGGAGTCTCTAAGATAATAAAACACTTTCTTTGTCCTATCAGGACCCTTGGCCATCAGAGTCTACCTCAGAGATACACCGGTGGTGTCTTATCTCTCTCGTCTTGCTTGTCCTCCACTCCTACCTACCTCCGGTTCCTTTTATCCACCTGCGCACTCCAGTATCATTAGCTCCCATATGGTTTCACCCATAGAATTAGGTATACCAAAGAATTAGCAAGTGCAAAAGAAAGACATTTCTCAGGCTAATATTTACCATCCCTAAAGCATAACAGACTCTGTGTGTTGTGCTAACAAAGTCCTTTTTGTCTTTCTTTCTTAATGAACCTCTCCCTGGAAGAAAACAGCAGAAATCAAAAACCAAACCAAAACAACAAGACAAACACATTTGTCCTCATATACTTTTATTAAGAATATAAACTAGCATATTTAGAAAAGCCTGTGCTTGGGGTGGGAGTGGGGTCTCTCGCAGGGCCAGCAGTTTCTTCTAATGACCACCCAAAAAAGGAGTGTGCCAGTGAGCCTGCCCTTTCCTTGCCCTGTGAGCAGCAGCTGCTTCAGGAGGCCAAGCAATTCCTGCAGAAGGGCAGTGGATATACCAAGATGCCTACCATTTGTCTCCTCTTCCTGCATGTGAAGACCTCCACTGCCAGTATAGCCTCCCAGCAGGCCCTGGACAATCCTCAGTAGGTGGGTTGCAGCAGATGACAGCATGTCTTCTCAAAGTACCTCTACATGGCAATCCCTATAGCAGCAAGGCTGGAAGAGGGTGACTGGAAGAGTTATCACCTCATTCAACAGCTGTGTTGTTGCATGCTTTTTCTGCAGGCTGGCATTCAGAAATAGAGTGGCTCCAATGAAAATGCAGAACTGAGACAGACAAACTAATGGACAGCCAGAGAACCTGAGCTCTGAGGATCCTGACATCATGGCGCGGGGCATAGGTCAGGTATAGACTCAAACAGCTGCAGGAGTGAGGAGTGTAAACTGGTTCAAGCTTCTCTGCATGGACTCCATCCAGGAACACATCTGGGTCCATCAGGAGTCTCCTCTTCCCCCACCTTCCAGAGACATCAGAGACTCCCTGGCCTGCTCTTTGTCTTTTCTCTTATGCTTCTGGGATAGCAGAGATGGTACTTAATAAATTCGTCTCTCACAAATTGTATAATAAGGTTGATGTTCCAAAGAATTTAAAAAAAAAAAAGTTTAAAAGAAGAAGAAGGAGAAAAAGAGGAAGGCCTCAGGGCAAGGGCAGGAGCCCAGAAGCTGTCCTGTCCAAGGCCTGGACTGCTGTCCTCCCTCTCCTGTTCAGTGTAGATAAAGAATTGTTCACTTTGAGCCAGTGTAGATGGGAACTCACATGTCTTGAGCACTGTAGATGAAGACTCACTCCCCTTGACCCAGTGTAGACAATGATTCTCCCCTTGAGCCAGTAGAGATTTGATTCCATTTGAACTGATTGCTTTGGCCAAAAGGCATCCCTTTCCTGGCCTTCAGGTCCCTCCCTGAGGAGTGTGGAGAGCGTGAACAGCAGCTGTTGGAGAAGACACATTTCTTATCAAGATAATTTTAAAACTCCATATCCTGAGAAAGGAAACTAACACTTATGAAAGACCAATCAAATGCTAGTAACTGTGCTAGGGTCCAGGTCTCACCATTTATCTCTTTTAATACACTCTGATGTAGAAATATTTTGAAAGCAACCTGAAAATACCAAATAATACTGGTACAATTGGTATTAAGAGTACAAATGATCAACCTAGAAATCTATTCCAGTGAAAAAATATTCAGTAATAACTTGTACAAAAATGGTAGTTGGGGCTTTTCTAGATAGCATAAACTGAAAATAATTCAAATATCAACATTCATCAAATGATGGAAGACTACAGAAAAGCTTTTGTTCACGATGTTAATAAGTTGTGGGCTTGGGCTGGGGATGTGGCTCAGGCGGTGCGGCCCAGGTTCGATCCTCAGCACCACATACCAACAAAGATGTTGTGTCCGCCAAGAACTAAAAAAAATAAATAAATATTAAAAATT